GTGAATATCTCTAAAACGAAAAAAGATATTCCAAAAAGGAAAATGCCATCCTTCTTTACTTTGAAAAGCCTTTCAAATCAGCAGCAATTATTTTTTACTTCATAGGCACTTTAAGGAGTATTTTTAAGGCAGGGACAAAACTAAATAAGAATGGCTACTATTCATAATAAGTTTTAACCAGTTTATAACTTACGCATGACAGAAATTCAAAATGCTGTTTGTTTGCTAGACTGCTGACAATATCTGTTGCCTTGTGATTGGCTAAAAATTACAATTGGCAACACTACACTAATGTGGGTTCTTCAGGTACTCGTCAAATTCAAAACTCGTGTTCCAGAATCTATTACAGTAACTGTACAGTAATTTACCTTCAGTTAAGAGGGTGGCAAGGGGGGGGGGGGGTTACCAATCACGCATCAAGCCAAAGTTTTCTATTAAAACACGCATCATGGAGAATTTTTTTCACCAATCATGTGTCACATAAAAAGAAGTAAGTACATTGCCAATTTTACTTTCTCGACCCTAAAAGCGTCATTAAAAGGAGAACTCTGCTGATTCAACTACAGAAATGCGTCGACAAAAAATTTTCCAAACATTTTTCCTTGAAAATGACAGCTATTGCATTGGCCAAAACAAAAGTGGTGACCGGTACTGGAGAGCAGGAGAATCAGTCTGTATACAGGAGGCTCCTGGATATTCTGGGAGAGTTGGCACTATCTGTGAACAGGCTTCAGATTAAAATAGGGCGAGCAAAGCCTATGATCAAAACCTATGGTAGTCACTAATGAAGAAGTCTTGGGATGGTGACTACTGTAAGTTTTGTTAAGTCTTGGGATGTAGCTTTGCATATCCAATATTAATAGATTTGCTTCTTTTGTCTGTTTTTCTGTAGCCATTACATCCCAATAGCACAGGGAACTGTACAACTGTGGATGGTAAACCACCTGAGCTTGTGCATGTTAATGGAACTCACTGTACCAGTGGCCTGGACCTGAGTGAAACACAGTTTAATCTGCTTTATGCCATATATGCCTGGACGTGAGTAAAAAATAATTTTGTTGTGTGTATATTAGTACTTATGTTGTACAATGTATCATGCATTGTAAGACCTGAAAAGGCAACAGTGGTATGAAACAACATATTGTCAAACAAAAACAATGTTGATTTGATGTGCTCAAGGAGCATATGTTGTACTGAAAAGTGGTGATGATGGCATTCATCTGACTTCAAACTATTACCTGTTGATGTCAGGTACCCTGCTGGCAAAGTCGCAGAATCAGGAAAGGGGATTTTGTTAGTAGGGTGAACACCAGGCCTGTAGCCCTTGTGCTGTTAAAGACGTATAATGATAGCGATAGCGATTGCGATTGCGATTGCGACAGCGACAGCGACAGCGACAGCGATAGTGATAATACTTTATTCACTCAGTTTTCCCAGCAGTATTTATAAAGTGAAGCAAACACCAGCGGCAAAAATACAGGACCACGTTTTTCTATTACATTGAAGATCACATGCAAAGATTCAAGCCCGTTCACAAGAATTTTTACATTATTTCTCAAAAACGAAGAGCAACCCAGCAAAAAAATTACAGGGCAATGTTTTTCAGCTGAAATGAAGGCCACGTGCAAAAATTCAGCTAATTTGGAGCAAACAAAAAAGCAACCAAAATTGTCACTTATCCCCTTTTATGACTAGCTTCTTCAACTATTGTCATTGCTGCTTCTTTTTTTCAGAAATGCAATAGTTGTGGTACTTGCTGGGTTTCTAATTGACAAGTTAGGAAATCCAAGTTAGTATTAATTTTACCGTTAGAGCAATATTACTCTTTTTCTTTTGATGTATAGTGCAACCCTACCGCAGAACAACTGGCATTACGGACAAGAATTATGATGAAATTATTTGTGCATGCAGCAACCTCCCTCTCCCTTGTTCTTTGATTGCACTATATGTTTGGAACCCTCTTTTTCTCATTTATCTTGTGTGCAGTTGATCTTGTTGGTATATCCATGTTTTCCGGCATTCCTTTCCATTTTTTCAAGCCACCCATCCACATCATCCGATACTGAAAAAACTTTTAATTATTGTATCCCTTAAAATACTGTCCCCTTTATTTGTTTGTGTGTCCATTCAAATGATCTTGACATAGTCCGCGATAGTGAATTCCAGTCTACAAGAATTGTCTGAGCCAGGTTTTGTTTACTAAAGTTGCCTTACAGAGCAACAACATATCCTCCTCTTCCCAAGTATGGCATGACTGTTTAATATCCATTGTATCAACACCTGTCTTCTCATTTGTCAGGCTGTTGCAGGCTTTTCGTCTTGTCTTTCTTTTCAATATGCTGATAATGCTTTGAATTCATTTTTGTTCCCCACTATTAAGTTGGAGCTATGTTGTTTTCATCCATGTGTCTGGCTGGTACATCTGTGTTTGCTATCGGCTTGTACTTCAAGGGGACGTCAGCTATGTTCCCACTTTTCTTACTGGGAAGAATACTTTTTGGGTAAGTTACAGTAGTTGCAGAATACCTGTAAAACTGTGCATTGTGGTTATGAGACATGGATATGTCTGGACACTTGTTTATTGTTAATGATTGGTACGTGGGATTCTAAATTGACTGGTTTGGGTTTGAGCTCTGGGAAAGATCAATGTGTTGTGTTCTTGGGCAAGACACAGTTCTCTCACAATGCCTGTCAATGCCCAGGGAAAACGGTTTCCAGCTGATAATAATGACAGTAACCTGACAAAATGCTGGGAGGGGGTAACCCAAATAACATGGAAAAAGGACTATTAGTATTAATTAATTTAAACAGAATTGGATGGTTACAAAAATAGTTAATAAACATTTCATGTCATCATACTCTTCCTGAATGCTTGTAACAAAAGAAACCATGCATGCCAGTAATAGAAGCTGGAGTTTAAAATTTATAGATGAAATGTTACAATGCATTTACCCAAAAATGTGATAAGGGAAATTGCAATCCAATTATTAGTAGCAACAAAATGTCATTCATTAATAATTTAAGTTGATGGTGTTTTTGTCCACAGATCTGGAAATGGCTCATTAACAAGTAAGAAACGTGCATCCATTCTTTTTAGTCAAAGTAGATACAAGAAAATGTAGTGTGTCATGAAAATGTATTAGTGTTTACAAATGTAACTTGCTTCATTGGGAGATGCATGTTAGTAGTACATGTATAATGCAATTTTTCATTTAAAATTATTTGTACATAAAACAGCTCTCTCCTCCTTGTTCTTTGTTTACAATTTGTATAGTCGGAACCCTCTTGATCTCATTTCTTGATCTGGTTGATACATCTGTGTTTTGTTACGACACCTCATTACTTTTTCTAAATCACGCCCTGGCCACCTTTGTCACCTTCACTACCCTGGCTACCCTTGCCACCCTTGTCACTCTCGCCACCTTTGCCACCCTTATCACTCTGGCCACCCTGGCCACCCTTGTCACCCTGGCCACCCTCGTCACCCTGGCTACCCTTGCCACCCTTGTCACTCTTGCCATCTTTGCTACCCTTATCATCCTGGCCACCCTTGCCACCCTCTCCACCCTTGCCATTCTGACCACCCATTAAACTGTTTTTTCTCCATAGTTGTCCAAAACAGAATTTCTGCTATGTGGTTTAAAGGAAAGGAGCTTGCATTTGCTTTTGGATGTATTCTGGCATTTTCAAGACTCGTAAGTTGATGATTATTATTTCATAGTTACTGCAAGCTTGCAATAGCCAGTTGCTGACTTTTAATGAAAGCCCTGTGTTGGTAGATGTTTCCACCAAGTGAAATATTAGCCATGTAGTTAATTTAATATTTTTTTCTTCTCATTCCATTTAGGGTAGTGTGTTAAACTTCTTTCTGACAGAGAGTTTTCATGAAAAGTATGGTCTTCAGTGGACCTTATGGGGAGGTAATGTATGGTGAGGACTGCTGGTTGACCCATGTCAACAGTATACTGTACAAAATTAATTTCATCACATTCATTGAATCGCATTGATGGCAAGTATCAGAGACGGTCGAGGCTCTCAGCGGCTCTCCAAAGGTTTGTTTTGGACTTAACTGGTGGAGCTATTTTTCACTCTTTTATGTCTATTCTCGCCTGATCCAGCATGTTCGGGCGGTGTCGGCTCATAGTGCTAGCAAAATTACTTAGTAGACTTGAGCAAGTTACAACTGTCTACACTCCAGCACTTTGCTGACTGGAGGTGAAGCTTTCCACTGTTTGTTCCACTTTCCATTTTTGTTATATATAGCATATAAACTGGTGAGTAAAAATTTAAAACCCTGTGTTCTGTTCATCCAGGGGCCATTCTGTGTGGGGTGGGTGTCCTGTGTGCAATTATAGCATCATCACTGGATGTTATTGGACTGAAGCAGTTGAACAAGGTATCCTATTTCAGAGATCTATAAGCTAGAATAATAATGTTGTAACTTAATTGTTCTGTAACAAAATTCTTAGTTTGATTAGCATATTTACTTGATTGAGTGCCATGCACTGTTTAAATTTTAGTGTTTTATGGGCAGCATTTGAAACATTGTAACATTTGTAAATGATGGTAAGCAAATGAACTGAATGGAACCCTCTACTGTATTATTAATTTTTTCATACTCTTAAAGTTCATGTCCCAAGTTTCAAGTCACAGAAAACAGATGTTGAAACTATAGTACGTAGTCTGGATAAGTCAATTGCATTGTGGCAGGGAATTTTTACTCAACTTCTATACAGAGCCATTGAAAATTCAGAAATCTTCCAGTTAGAAATTTAGAAAGTTAGAAGTCAGAAATTTTCTATTTCTCTGAAACATTTTTTAAAATGTGCTCCAGTTTCTCCATTTGTAACTGAGTAAAATTTGTTTATTTTCTTACAGAAAATAGAGATGGAAATTGGATCAAAAAGAGTGGTAAACAATTTTTGAGTTTGAGGGATGAGTTTATAATGTGGCTCACATTTTGTCTTAAAACTCCTTTGTCATAATTTTTACTATCCTTTGACTTATGTCTGGTTTGCAATACAAACAAGACATAATATCGTGCTGCCTTCATTTGTAATAAAATCTGCCCATCTAATTACTACAAAATGTTAGATTTCTTGTTGTTGTCATGTCATTGTGTCAGGGCTTCCCTACATATCTTAGAATCAAACCGAAGAAAATTCCGATGCACACTCAGGAAAACACTTTGCATGTTTCAGAGACTGACAGACATCAGGTACTTCAGGTCTTCGTTCTGGCTTCTAGCATTCTGTCTCATGTTCTTTTACAACGGAGTCTTCCCATTTATTTCTGATGCCAGGTAAACATGATTTTTTCAAGACTACTGACATATTTATTATACTTTAGACTGTATTTACAGTTTATGCATGTAGATAAAATTGAGCTCCTGTTTTCCACTTAAGTTAGAGATTTGAAGGGAGTTTAGTGACCAACAAACAAGTGAAATTTAGTCTGGACCAGCAAGGCAACTATGTGCACCCTGGGAAGAGCTGGTCTTAATGGGGTGTCAAAAAAGCAATTGTGTTAGCTATACTGCTGTTTGGATCAGCTTGGAATGGGTGCAAAAATAATCATCCATCTATAAGCACCCGCATCATTGTGCATATTAATTTTGATTATAAAAATGTCTAATTGGCCAAACTGATGTTAATTTGACTGTAAAACAGTTGAAAGAGACTTGGTCACATGCCACTCTTATGCCTTCATGGTCTTCTTTTTTTTATTGTCACAAATTTATTACTGAATATTTTGTTTTCAGCAAATTCATTTATGTGAATTACAATGCAACATTTGACTTTACCAAGAAAGAGTCTGCCTACATTGCTGGCAGTGTGTACATGGTGTCCATGTTATTTGGTCCTGTCATGGGCTTGGTTGTGGTAAGTCACACTGAACATATGTATTACAGTACAACTTGAACCGGGTCACTTAGGAAAGAGTTTACCAATCACAAGGCTTGACACTAACTTTTTACGTAGATTTCAAATTTTGCTTTCCATCTCAAAATTTTACTTTCCAAAATGGAGTGCAGTACTGTATCTCGATATATGGCAGATCAGTAAATGCTAGAATGGTGTAAACTTGGCCTTTTGAAGAGGGGAAATCATTGTCAGATGGTTATTTTTATCATTTGATTATTTTTTTTTATATATATATACACGTTTTTCCCATACGCCTTAACCGTAAAAGCTACTTTCCAGGATAGCTCAAAATTTACCTCCCAGATCGGTTAAGAATTTTGGTTCATTTTCGGTTTTTTACTTTCCAAGATGTAAATTTACTTTCCAGTGGAAAGCAGGTAAGTGTTAGTGCCAAGCCCTGAATCAGAATGTTGCTTGAGAGCAAAGGATGGCGATCTTCTTCTCAAAAATAAACCATTATTATTGAAGAATAAAGAATTGAAAGCCCAACAAAAGTGTGCAAGTTGTGGAGCTCACAGGAAACTTTGCCATTTGTTGCTGAGTTTTTTAGATCCTAAATTTAGTACCCCTTTTAATGGTTATGGTTTAGCTGTCGCAAAACAAAAATTCACATTAATTTTTTTGGACTGAAATTTATTGTTGTGATAATTGCCATCAAGGACTGAATCTGTAGGGTGTATACACAGAGGAGTTGATAGTAGCTCTCTTGTTTTAACCCCCTAACCCCACCCACAAAGTTGTTCGTTCCGCAACACGCGTTGTTCGTAAACTCGCTCATGCGCCAAAGCAAAAAGCCAGATAGCAGCACTTGAGGGCAGAACTTGAACACTAGAGCCTGCTCGATGGCTAAGTTGATCACGTATTCATGTCAAACTAATCTTTACTTCATTTCACATAAAAAAGAGTTACGTTTTGATATGTTAGTTTTCTGCTAGGTGGCTCGGTTCAAGAAGTTGCACTGTAATCAGTTTTAACATAATTATGGAGAATTTGTTTTGTAAGCTTTTAAGACATAGTAGGGTTTTGTTCACTTGATTTGTGCAATGTTTGAATGCTCAATTAACTTGTGAAATAAATAAGAAACACATTTTTGATATCAGGAATTGCTACTAATATCTAGTGTGTATTATTTATCAACAGGATAATTTTGGCAGGCGAGGGATTCTGATATTTCTTTGTGCATTCTTAACAATCCCTGTGTACGGATTTTTGGCATTTGCACCAAGTGTTCATCCTCTAGTACCTACCATCTGGCTTGGTTTCACTTACTCTATAGCTGCTGTAAGTGAAAGGGCTCACTAGAGCCAAAGCATTTCTTAATACATAAAACAAACCAACTCAGCACTTAAGTTTGGGCAAGGTGCTCCATAAGCTTTAACAAAAATTGCCAGATATAGCGTGTGCCATGTCAGCTAGTTCTATCATAGCAATCGTGTGTCAGTAGCATCAAGAAAGACCCAACCCACCCTACCCATGGGTCTCTTCTTTTTAGCGGTACGTTATCAATAAATATATTTTTGTTTGCACAGCCAGTCTCTCCCTTGTGTCTGTCATAGTGTGTGATGGTATATAAATGCTTTTCTTGAGCACTGTATTTTGTACAGGAATTCGTTCGGGCAGATCTTTCTTTTCTTTTCTCTGTCTTGAACCTGATGAGATGTAATATGATAATTGCAGATTATTCCAAGTTCTTCATTTCAGTTAACATTTGAACTGAGGGACAATATTATCTAAATCATACTTATCTCTTTTTTTTTTTTGCTTGTAGGCATCTCTTTGGCCTTCTTTCCCACTTATTGTAGAACATGCAACTGTTGGTAAGTCTGGCCTATCTGGCTTCATGCAGTTCTTTCTCCTATCAACAAAATATAGTGCACTGTATTTAACTTCAGAAAGACGCTTATGATCTCCACCTTTTTTAAGTCTATTGGAAGCTGGGGGAGATGTGTTGGCCTAACGGTTAGTGCATTGGTCAGGGTTTGGGCCTAGGATGGGATCATTATGTTGTATTCTTGGGCAGACACTTCTCTCTCACAGTGCTTCTCTCCACCCAGGTCAGGTGTATAAATGGGTAGCAGCGCATAACATGACAAACTGCTGGGGGTCCTTCTTGCAATGGCGTAGCAGCCTATGCAGGCATGCTTAATACACCTAGCACTACATGTAAAATCATGGTTGCCACAGCCAGAACGTTTCAAAATTCCCTGACTTTTCCCTGATAAAAATACAATTTCGCTGACCAAATAAATACAAAGTATCAGTTATAAAAGCAGCTTCTAGCCTTGTTTTACAGCCGTCCTTTCCTTTCTTTCATTAAGACTGATAAGTTTTCAACAAATTTTCGTTCTTCATTACGTCAAAATATTGTGGAGATCACAGAGGCCCCAAATGTTTCTACCAGCCTTCATTGGTGTTAAATTATTTCAATCTTGCCCTACTTTTCTTCAAAATTGACTCAAAATAAAAATTCCCTGACTTTTCTCTTACCTTGAAGAATTATTTTTTTCCCTGACCATTTCCTGACTTGTGGCAACCCTGAAAATAATGATAATGAAACACAGCTGCAGAAATGTTAACTTTATTTGAAGATACTCTTTTGCAAACTGTGTGTTTTATTCTCCTGAAGGAACTGCTCTGGGATTAACCACGTCTATTCAGATGATTGGTATGGGAATAGCCAACATCATTGTAGGAAAAATGCTCGATCTTATAACGTAAGTCAATTCGCTTGGCCTTTCACTTTACAATGAAGGTGGCATTGCCTAGTGGTTAGGGCGCTGGATTTGTAATCCAGAGGTCCCGAGTTCAAATCCTTTTCCCTGCCACTGGTGGTTAGGGTGCTTAATTTGTACTCCGGAGGTCTCAAGTTCAAGTCCTTTTCCCTGCCACTGGTGGTTAGGGTGCTGGATTTGTAATCCGGAGGTCCCGAGTTCAAATCCTTTTCCCTGCCACTGGTGGTTAGGGTGCTGGAT